TGAATTTCGCGCCAAAATGGGAAACCTGTTATCTTGTTGCTTAGCCGAGTTCTAATGTAATTTAACGCCTATAGCGTAAATTACTAATTTTGATTGTTCTAAATACGTCGATTTTTTTGTTGCTGTTAAAATTCTTAATACTTACACAACTATTCTTACTTTACTTATTTGTCATCGATTCCATAAGCGTTTTTTTAAAAGCGTTTTTTTAGCGAGTTAGTTTTCTACGGGATGGGGACGCTAACCCCATGCCCAACCCTCCTCCTTTACCCGGGCTTGGGACCGGCAGTAACCCTATAAGAGCTACAGGCGGAGTTATCGATTCCATAAGCAACATATTAATTACCGTTCATTTTGATTAGCTTAAATCTATCTTGATACATCTTATCTATTAGCATAGATTGAAAATAATATTTACAAAAAACATCATTCTTCATAACTACTAAGTTACATTTATATAAGTACAAAGATGCTTTTTATAGTTTTATAGTTTAATAAAAATCATTGTATGATAGTAAGAGATCATTTTTAAAATATACTAAAGGTCTCATTTAAAAAAAAGATTGATTTTAATTTTTAATCTGACCATCCCTTAACACTTCACATAAATTAGTTAAAAGCGATTAATAAGAAGGACAATATCTGGGATATGCGTTAAATACATTAACAAAGACAATAAAATTGACAATCTATTCACGAAAATCTTGAAATAATAAATAAATCACATATTAATTAAGGTAATATCGAGTCATACGCATAGTATGCACATATGCTAATAACAGACTGATCAATTGCAGTTTTAAATCTCAATGAGAAGATATAAGCTAAACAATACCATGTGAAATCATATATTTATTTGCAGTTTAAAATAAACTAAATCATTTAACTTATTCCCATCATTATTATTATTCCCTAAAATCTTATTTACAATATTAACTAAATTTCTTATTACATTAATAGATCAACTAATAAATAGCCTTATTTGAAACAAATAATTAAATAGAAATGATATATTTTTATATACAAATATTATTCATGTGGGAATTTTCATATATTATTATTGCTTGTTTTGTTTCTTAAGGTTAATATTATTACCTCAGGATGTCACTCACTCTCCCCCCCTCTATACTCCCTCTCTCTTTCTTTCTTTTCCCTCCCTCCCTCTCGCTCACGCTCTATCTCCCCCTCTCGATATAAACATACATAAATATTTATTTAAACTGAATATCAGATTAATCAATTCTTTAAAAGTAATAGATATTATCACATTAATAATTTATTTCTGTATCAATGTGATAAATAGTCCATTTCAATGAAAAATAAATTCTTCTGTTATTTTTTTTATCTAAAAAAAAACCAGCAAAAATAAACAAAAATAATAATAAGTGAAACAACAATAATTTTATTTCGTCTAAATAATACTTTTTAAAAAAAAGACTTTTATTAAGGTAATATCGAGGCATACACACAGTATGCACGCATGCCAATAACAGACTGATCAATCGCAGTCTTAAACCTCAATGGGAAGATACAAGCCAAACAATACCAAGTGAATTTAAATTCACCTCATTGCATAAGCAAGTAGCTATCAGGACTCAGTAGCTGAGTGGATCACGAGATGGCGTTTGAAGCGAATGGTACTGGGTTCGAGTCGCAAAGTGAACATCAACTCTGTGAAATGCAGGTACATTCAACTGACGAGTCCCAAATAGGACGAAACGCGCGTCAAACTTGATTCCACTGCTAGCCACTATCCATCATTGCTTACAAAAAGAAGAAGATAAGTTTGGGACATAAAAATGAACATTAATCAAATTACGTAACCGTATTATAAGATTGATTATTAACTAGTTGGCCCCAAAGTTGATCAGGGTAAAAGGAAAAGCTGAAAATAATTTTTTTTGGATGCAAAACTCTGGCTTTTTGATCTGAATAGTAATTACTTCAGCCGTCTGTATGATTCTCAGTTTGATGGATTTAGGTAGACTGCTGTTAACATGATATATTATTGCGAAAGATTGCTCCATGTTGGCTGCATGTCTCGTCTGAATTAAATGGTTTAAAATGGAGCTGTTAACTGTTTTGACTACACCTAGGAGATGCTCACGAGCCCGAATGTACAAATCTTTATTTTATTTTAATATTAAATTCAATAGAATATTCTGATAGAAAATGAAATGAAAGTATAGTATCTTATCTTAAGAAAAATTAATAATTGTTTTCCTTATACATCAAAAATATTCATTAACAGACATATGTTATTCTTTTTGCGTATGTGGAAGAAAAATTATTGTCATGGTAACATTAAAATCGATCAGATAATGAATTTATATACTTTAATTATTTATTTGAAATGGAAAGTTTATTGAAATAATTTACATTGATGTAATGACTATTTATATATAATAAAGTCTACTTGAATGAAAAACAAGTTTTAAGTGAAATTTAATGAAACTCTTATGTTCAACTTATGTATACATAATAAACATAATGAGAGCTATTGATGACTAGATTATTAGGAGTACATTAATTGTGATTAACATAAACTTAATTATTTATGTTTATGCTCTTGACATTCCATTCTTACGTTGTTCAAACTAATCTATTTATAGAATAATAAAAATACCTTAGTTAACTGATCAACTGTCGTTTCATTGATGTAGTCGATACCTTTGTATTCAATTATATAAACTTAATTCACCCAATACCTGAATAATATATAGATACTATAAACTTTACTGAAATTTTTGCACACCTTTAACCAAGTTTCTATATATTCGTTTCACTTACCACTGTTACCCTTTTTCGAGGAGCATAAGCTGATCCGACTCGTTCATCTACGATGCTGTTCAGGCAGGTACATGAAAGGTCCCACCTCTTACAGAGTTTCTCCATCGAATGTAATTTCATTGGTGCTCTCTACGTTGTATTTGAGGGTGTTGCATTTTCCCTTATATATGTTGAGGCCTAATGATGCAGAAGCTGATACAACACTAGTTATATTCACGTGCATTTGTCCGCGTATGGGATAGCAGAGTAATTCATTTAAACTGTCTATTTTATTCCGTGCTTCCCCAAAGATGTCGAGATCTTCATAATCAAGTCAACCGCTAGGCGATAGAGATATAATGTAAGCAGCTTTGTCTGACTCCGGTACTCACTTGGAATGCATCTGCCAGCTATCTTCCATGGACTTTTTGCAGTGTAATCCGTCGTATGAATTCCATTTGATGTTGACGCTCTTCTCAGCTACTCGCACCATAGTGCCGAGGAAGGTTCCATAATGTTCTATGAATACTAAGTATACATTTGGAAAAGATTTATAGCTACAATTCTTAGATTAGAAAAGATGATTATGTAAATTCCAACTAATTACTCAAACTAGTCTAATTAAGGCGGAATATCTATGGCTATCACAATATATGAAATCTTATTAAACAGATCATAAACTAGGATGAATGGAATTAAACTCATCGCTGTTAATGATATCTTATTTAGCAAATAACCTATCATCTAAACAGAGGTTTAATAACATCATTTCTGTTTTTTCATAGTAAATTTAACTGCTGACTTTCGACATTTCTAATCATACGTTTTTTAATCATGAAAAATGTAACCCAATCTTCATTCATTAAGCCAATAAAATCAGTACAAATCTCCGTATTGGTAACAATCATGTGTTCATAAGTGACTAAATTCAAGATGCAATCCCTGGTGTACTAGTAAGAATCTGTGACCATTATAGTTTAATCGTGTCAGGTATGAATCAATTACCCATAAAAAATAATAGAAAATAATTGCGCGACATCGTAGATCAATTGAAGTTAAACACTAATACCGTTTGATGTTAGCTCACTAGCCTAGAGGTAAGGCGTTCACGAGGCCAAACCGTAAGTCCTAGGTTTGACACCCACATGTGAAGTTGTGAGTGCTGAAGAATTCCATACTAGGTAGTAGTAGTAGCTAACCAGTGCTTCCATATTTTCATTGATGGTCAAGCTTTGTTTGACCTGAGATTTTATCTATGAAAACACTACAATCTCTTTAAACCCTCGTACCGATAACAAATAAAAATTATTAACTTGTAATAGTATGTATATCTAATGTAAATTCTACTCTATATAACTGCCTTCTTTAACGATTAATTTGATTTTTAGTAAAATAATTAATTACTTTCTTCATTGTAATAACTTTGATTATTCTTTTAATAACTTCACATAAAAGAAAGTGGTATTGTATAATGTAATTACTTATTTATAATTTTTCACATTATAAATAGTATCTTTAATGGAGTGAATAACTTGATTCATTTTTGTTATATCTTGATAGAAATCTATGATGATACAAGGCTAATAATTAATAATAAATAATGTGAATTATTATTCCAGCCATTACTCTGAATTACTTTCTATACATTCCTTTGAAAGTTAATCACTTTTCACTAGAGTTCTTTATTTTCTTTTTTTCTTACTTACACCTTTTCCCCCTAATGGAACATAGGCCGCTGATCAGAATTTTTCAACAAACTGTCCCACTATGCCTTCCTTTCTAATTATATCCAATTGTTGTTCATTCTTCTCATGTCTATATCCATTTCTCAAAGTAATGTGTTCTTTCGTGTCCATCTCCTCCTTTGGCCTTGAGGATTCCATTTGAGGGCTTACCTTGTGATGCAGTTAGGTTCTTTCTTCAATATGTATCCTATCCACTTCCACCGCTTCTTCCTGATTTCTTCCTCGACTAGGATCTGGTTTGTACTTTCTCATAGTAGGTTGTTGCTAATAGTGTCTGACCAACGGATCCAAAATATTTTGCGTATAAAACTGTTAATACGCACCTGTATCTTCTGGATGATGGCTTTCGTTTTTCTCCAGGTTTCCGCCCCATACAGTAGAACTGTTTGACATTTGTATTAAAAATCCTGACCTTAGTATTGGTTGACGGTTGTTTTTGAGTTGCAGATGTTCTTCATTTGTAAATATGCTGCTGTTGCTTTTCAGATCTGCGTCTTCATATCTACATCAGATCCACCGTGTTCATCAATGATGCTGCCCAAATATGTAAATATTTTTACATCTTTTAAATTTTCTCCGTCAATTGTGATTGGATTGGTTCATGCTGTGTTGTATCGTGTTTTTTTCTGGTTAAATAATAAATAGAATGGAACATTTTTTTATGAAGTTGAATGAAAAGCTTTTAATTATTCTCTTAAATTGAATCAATTAAAACAGCCGGTCATTATTATTGTATTGTAAAAACATCAAAGAAATATCTCTTATATAAAATACAAAACTTGTAAATATCACAATATGTTTTACTGATAACTTGATTTGGTGATAGTATGCTTGACTTAACAATGTTTAAATCTTCGCTTAAATATAACAATCTCTTAATAAGTTCCAAGATTGTTAATGAAATGAACAAATTTTGTGAGAGTTCATCTTAAGAAGATGTTTCATTAATACTGGCTCATAAGTTACTGTTGAAAATGAAGCCATACGAACTAGGAACAGAATTTAAAACATTTTAAACCAAATTATTTGCAGTTTAAAGCTAAATAAGTGAAACCATAGTAATTTTGTTTCTTTTTTTTTACGAGAAACGCATGTGTGTATGATTAGTTTCTCCCAAAAAAAAATATTTTTTGAAATAAATGAGCCAGATATAGTTTAAGGACACATACAATTCACGTTTTAAATCTCCTGGTTAATCATAATGTGTTCATAAGAAGAATAAATAAATACTCTATGAATACTTTATATAATTGCTAGTTCACTAATCAACATTATCAACCTGTACCATTAGAGTTACAAAATAACAATTGACCTGAATTGTTTGTTGTGTGACCGTGAGTTATTGAAGAGCCATATATAAGAATCAAGTAGAGTAAAATAGATGTATGGTCAAACAATAGTTATCTGATTATGCTCTTCCCTAACTTTGAAAAAGTTACATTTAGAGAAGAGACCTACAAATAAATATATTAATACATATGATTGTAAAGTACACAAACGGTTGAATCCTATGTTTATACATATTATAATAAACACAATGCAAACAGGCTAGATTAGTTCTCATTACAAGTTAAAGGCCATTTGAAGGAAGTGATATTGGCTTAATTAGCGTAGTAAGGTGATTAATGTCACTTAAGTAGTTATCATCCGGAAACAAAAGCTTTTTACATGAAATGATAGATTACATTAATACATAAATTATAATTTAAAAAATCTACTGATAGAATGCTTAAAAAACAAGTTGCATTTGAGTGTATACAAAGGAAGTACTTAAAATACATTATTCTCTTCAGACTTAATTAAATAGACCGGAAATGATGATGGGCTTTGCAACTTGTTAAATGATTATATGATGTGATAAATATAGGCTTATAGGTTCTACTGGCCTTGAAGTGACGTTTTGTGATAGCTCCTTACAATTATACCAGAAACATTTATCACACAGTAATATAAACATTAGTACTAGTGCTTAGTTGGTTTTTATAAACGTATGATGTTTGAAAAAAGACACCATTTCCATAAAGAGTGACGAGTGAGACAATTTATTGAAACACAATGACTCATAATTTTCAATTAAATAGCACATTTAAGTGCGTATCGATGGATTAAATGAGGCTTAATACATTAGGGACAAATAAAGTTGGAATCTGAGTTACTAATGATCACTACGGATGATCATTACTTTACATCAGTAAGGGAGAAATCAGCTAATTCAAAGATGCTTCACTAACACAGTATGGTGTCATCTCATCTGCTGTCCTCAAAGATGATGAGCTCCAATAATTCTAAAGTTTTATCTACAATGTTATCGCTTAGATATGATTTAATAAAGCTAATATCTACCATGAACAGTAGGCACTTGCTCTGTTAGATCTTTCAAATGAAGTTCAGAAACATGAAGTTGGTTGTTTGAAGAAGTTATACTTAAGTTATCTGGTTACTGAATGTTTTGATGAGTAGTCAAATTTATGAAATTTAGGCTACTCGATAAGAGTAGATTTCATTTACATCATTTAGAGAATTTTGAAAATACTGCAGAGCTAAACATTCCATTTCCTTTTATGTTAGTACAACTCTACTCAGATAGAGCAGTTCTCTTTACGATCTATCGATTAGGGAAGTATGCATTAATTGAAGATACCATATTTCATATTACATAAGCTTACTAAACGTCAGGATAAGTCACGAACAATTTGCTAGTCGCATAATACGTTAGTCCACTTAAATTTGAAGTGGTGCCTGAAGCTACTGTATTGACTATTCACTTAAGATTCTTGCTATCTTGATCACGTTTAATAATCACTCTGCTTTACCAATTATTTGAATTCGCTTTGTTTGACAACCATTTTATATCTATAATAATTCAAACATGAAAGTCTACCACGAGATTCAAAGCATTTGTTTTGAACAGAAGCAGCGAAGAATTATTCAGGGCTACAGAAATGTAAGCATTTTATCTTGTTTATAAAATACATATTGTATAATTATACAATAGACTAAGTAATATTTTTGTTTACATAAGTCCATTGAAAACTTTTTTGGTAAACATATTTCTTCCTAAAGGTGTATGTTCTAGGGTTTTCCATGAACTTACGCCATCGTTTATTTTCAAATCGATAAATATTATTTTATACAGATGACATTAAAATTTATTGACTGTAACATGTTTGAGCAACATAGTGTAGTGTCGGTTACTATGTTAAACCCACATAACTTATTCTAGCTTCTGAACAGGCCAATCTATTCATTCTTTCTGAGTCACGTTTTGGCTTCGTTAATTATTTACTTATCAACCTGGACTGTTTTTATATGAGTGAATGTGTGTAAATCTTATCCTACTCTTCACATGTCTGTAGCTTATTTTTGTGTGACTATAAATATTGATTGACGCTTGGCTAAATCGAGTTGGCTCACATGCCTTCTCCACTGAGCGCCATTCCGCTTCGTTCCTCTGATTATCCGTCCAGATCAATCAGTGTACAAAATATACGTATTTAAAAATCCATTCTCGTACTTGACTCATTTAAATCCGTTGTTCACCAACGCGATTTAAGCTGATGATTATATATGAGAATAGATGACAGTAAGAAAAACATATCATTTATAATGTATATAAATGATAATATACATATGCCAAAACGTGAAACGTTAAAAGTCAGAAACGATTACTATTTTCATTTAGATCTCATACCTTAGATTGTCGAGAAATACATCAGTATCTTTTGTAAATGATTATTTTAACACTGAAATGAACCCACTAGATAGAAGGTTATGTAGTATTTTTACGACTTGTGTATAATTTGTATCATTATCAATATAAAAAGGTAATGTTCACTGAATACTATCATAATCAAATTAATACATTCCGAAACTTGAGATGAAAGTCAGACTCTAAATTTCAATCAAAAATTGACCATAAATGCTTTAGTAATGGATATGAACGACAAAATAAATTTTATTTCATATATGGTTGATTATGAAATTATCCGTACTTTATGTCTATTCCTGTATATCTATTACATAATATAAACTCCTAAAACGTCTGGAGGGGGGCGTTCACCTGATAAGATTTTATTTGGTTCACAATGAACTATTGATTATCCCAAGTGAATGCGGGATCGTGGATGCGCACTGCTGAGGAGTCACATACTAGGACGAAACGGCCGTCCCGTGCTTCCAAGTTTTCCATGGTGGTCTAGCTTTAATTGACTCATGATTTCAATCAAAAACTTAACAATCTCCACAACCCATAAACTGAAAATAATAATTATTTTATTATTATTATTATTTTATTTTAGATTGTTGAAATCTGTAATTTTCTGGTGATATTGTCTTATCCAGCAAATTTTTTTGTATATTTGGCTATGTCAAGACAATTTAAAAATACCTTCTGGAAAATATTCTATCGATTACGTCGTAATAATAATCAGAATCAGAATCGTACTACTATTGAACAATAAAATTATAAATTTCAATGTCAGCTCATTTGAATATGGGACTCATTATTGTTCATTTTAATTTGAATGAAAAGATGTTTTTGTTTTGTTTTGTTTTCTTGCCATATTAACAGTAAATGAATAAAACATTTTTACATCCTCTTGTTTATCTCCTCATCAGAATATAATATATAACTTATAGTTCAAATGAATTATTATTATTAACTTTCCTCCTAATTTCATTTGTATACATTGAATAAAGCTATTTGTATTGACTTGTTTTGATCTTTAATATTATGACAAATTGAATTGTATGATACCAAGTGTTTACTTCCATAGGCTATATAAGATAATATTACAGATTAATGTTTGGATGTATATACTAGTGTGGTGTGTTCTACTGATAAAAATATGTATTATCAATTAAAACTGACATGCCTAGAGGCAGAAGGTTGCAAAAAGATCAAAGAAAAGAGAACGAGAACAAAGAATGTTTGGTGTAGAAATGAAAGATCAATAAAGTCTAAGACGATTAATTGATATTTTGCAAATAAAGTATTTACTGTATAGTCCTCAGATTTTTGTATTCAAATACATTTCATTGTCCCTACTTGTGTTCTGATCCATTACACTAGAGATAAATATAGATAATAAGTCTTGCCATGAAAAAAGAAAATATTTGAAAACTTAAAATTTACTACTATTAATGATATTATTTTGACCATATGAATGAAAAAATACTATTATTTTGAAGAATGTAAAATTAGCGAAATGCTTATACACTGACATATAACTCTTTCAGATAGGTAAGCATTCTATTTACAAAGCACGGTTGGCTTATTTAATATCTCATTTATAGAACTAATATCTAAATTGATATACTTACGACTACAGAATAATATCAGTCTTAAGGGTTGTATACTAATACTTGCAAATCAGTATCTCTAATGTTTAGATTTAAAAAAATCGGAATTGTCTGAAGTTCTCTTTCTTAAATAACTAAAAAGCTAATTTCATATATAGTGGTTAGTGTTTGATATATGCGGTATTTCCGAAAGAGACGGTGAATAAACAAGGTATTACCCAAATTTAGTTCTAGAATAAAATCATTCAGTGTTTCTAAGCAGATTTGATAGGAATTTCATTTGCATATTGGTATTTTGATAATACGCTGATTGATATTCTCAACAAAAAAATATAGAAAAATATAAACAAAACATTATCTTTCTTATGAACGATGTTTTACTACCTGCTACTAGCAGTATAACTGGATTATCAATATTTGATCAGACAGGTTTTATACGTTTCGCCGTTAAATCTATCGACTAATTTGTAGTATGCTGTAAAACTATGGATCTGCATTGTAAATAATGAACTGTAAATAAGTATCATTGTTTGAACATCAAACTTTTAAATCATTAAATATATTTAATAAAGGTACCGCAATTTATTCTGATCAAATTTTGCATTCCTAAATATCTGTTACATTACATTTTAAATTAAGCGTAACTAATATGATACATTAATAATCATCGATTTCATCCATATTAAAAACGTGAAGCACAGTTGATGTAGAAATAAGTTATATTTTTAATTATTGGTGAATACAATCTCTGCCGTAGAAATTATTTCTATCTCTTGAGATAGTGAGAGGTTTTTATTTGTAGACTTGAGTAAGTGCATGTTCGATTCAGTAGTGTTTCTAATTCTGTCGAAGAAGAGATTAAAGAAATAAGTTAGTGTGGTAGATAGCCAGTATACAATAGTTATTTTAGCCGCCTCATAAATTCTGGATTCATAGCTTAAGCAGGGAATACACTAGTAATGCTACTGACAGCTACTGACTCCTTAGACGTACTAAGGAGTCCTGAGAAGAATGTAAGGATAAAACATGAATTATGGAAAATCCAAATTAACACGATGCACGAAAAGATTTAGTTGAAAAACAAAAGTTCTGCTATGTCAGAACATATGTAGAAACATGTGGATTTAAGGAAAACAAAAATTCTCCACAATTGATAGATATCACTGTAGGCAATTTTCATAATTCACTGATCAGTAACATATGTTAAGGACTTAATTATAGCAGAAGTCAAGCCTCAAACTATGATTGAGGATTTAAATGAGTTTTGTGTCTAAATTTCCTACCATTCAAAACCAGTGACCTACTCCATACTTATTTAAAAACATTTCAACTGTCACCAGTATGTATCATTAGCTAATGAGTGTGACTAACTTCGGATAATAAAAATGTCTATAAAGTCACATGGAAACGGTATTGGAACAAACGAATAATATTCACTTGTTAAAGCATTGCAATTATGAGATTAAACAACAGTTTACTTCCGATGTCGATAAGTTATTCAAGAATTTACAGAAACAAATTTTCACAGTAATAAGTGCAGTTTAGGATAATAATAATTAATAAAATCCCAGATATATAGAATATGGGCTTGAACTAAATGAAATCAAGCTTCAAAGAGTTAAGGCTACTAGTGTTGAAGTTCTGAAGATTATATGGGGGGGTCACTCAAAGTTGATCAAATGTGGGGTCACTCAAAGTTGATCAAATGTTGGGAAAATTATAATGAGCTTACCAAAGGTAGTGAAATAATGGGACATGAAATATGTTACAGAAGAGTTCTAAAGATAAAGACAGAAGTAAATGATGACTACAACTAGAAAAACTATTCACGCTTTAATTGTAATTGTTGTAAATCATACTCAAAACTACTTGTTAACTCTTGTTTTTATTTTATATTTCATCCGTTGTCTATTCCTTTGTACCTGTTTTATACATTATTTTATTACTCAACTCCTACAGAAGCTCGCTAATAATGGGGACCCTGTCTTAACTAAGTGACCTAAATTTACTG